CTTTCTGTAAGTTCATTGAGCATCCTTATAACCAGTGTTTTAAACTTTGTATCTAGTAGCTTGCTTGTGTCCATTTTATTTTGTTCTTTCTTTGGAGTTTTGTTCTATCCTTTCATTTGCCAATGACTGTCTGGAGCAGGGCCTTGTTTCATCTGAGCCATGTTTCCTTGTCTCCTCATTTTGGTGGCCTCCCTGTGTTTGTTTCTATGTATTTGGTAGAGCTGCTGCAGCTCTCAGGCTTGATAGAATGGCCTAATATAGTAGTTGTCTAGTAGGGCCCAGTGGCACTGCCTTTGCTATTATCCAAGCTGTGTACATGAGGTGTGCCCACTCTGTGCATTGTGTACACCCTATTTTATAGTTCAGCATTGATTGCTCCTAGCATATCCAGGGTCAGCGACCCCCTGAGTTCTGCCCGGGGTCACACATCATAAGCTACAAAGCTATCTACAAATGGCTGCTACTTATTCTGGGCTTGGAGGTACCCAGGACAGACCAAGTTGTGAAGCAAGGCCAGCCGCTGCTAGTGCTGGGCCTGGGGCAACTTAGCGAGATATACGGGGCTCTTTGAAGCCAGATGCTGCTTGTTTGGAAGAATTTAGGAAAATCTGAAGCATGGACCAAGACAAACCATTCGTGTGGAAAAACAACCAGAAACACCTTGGGTTGATGTGCAACTTGGGTGATGCATGGCCTCAGGGAATTAGCAGAATGGGGTAAACAGTGTGATCCAGGTTGGTGGACTCTCTGAAAAGGAGCCCACCTGCTGGCTCTCTGTTGCTGTGTGAGGGGAAGGTTTGGAAAAGGAACAGTGACCTCTGCCAGCACTTCAGTCTGAGAGAAAGCTACCCTTCAGCTCTCAATCTGATGCTAGGCATTCATTTCCTCCCTGTGTGTCTCTGGTGCCTTTCACTTTGCTGCCCCTGCACTGGATGTCAGAGCAAGTATATCTGAGTAAGTCTTTGTGCAAGTCCTTTAAAAGGAACTTCCAAGGATTCCCTCAGTTTCTGTCATCAAAAGCCTCAATCCCCACTCGTTTTTACAAGCAGAAGTTATTAGGATTTATCTTCCTGGCACTACAACCCTGGGCTGGGGGCCTGTGGTGGGGCTGGGATGCTTCACTCCTAAGATATCCCTGCCTCCTGACACGTGGGTGTGGGGCCAGACTATTCTGCATCTCTGCCCCTCCTGCCAGTCACGATGTAGTTTGTTCTTTAATTTGTAGTTGTAGGACTTCCATTCAGCTCGAGATCTTACAGTCTGAATGATGATTGTTCTATAATTTAGTTGTGATTGTGTGAGGAGGCGAGCTGTGTTTACCTGTGCTGCAGTCTTTCAGCTGTTTTTGTTTCCAGGGGGTGCATATTTCCTGTGTCATGTTTCCTGTCAGAGTGTATATAGTAGCATTTGCTTTTAGTCTGATCTGTAAAAGTTGTAGCACTTTCACATCTTAATGCTCTGTTATTCTGCACTCTTGTCCTATATCACTAATATACAGGGTCCAGTAGAAGTAATACCTGCTTGAGTGTGGTTGATAGGGTAATAATATGGGTATAATAATTTATAGTTTTAATTTGAACATTTTACCTAAAATGTCATATGGTGTGTTTGAGTGTGATACTGTTATGTTACAGAAGTAGATGCTTGTGATTTTGTAATAAAAAAGGAGGTGTTATTTGTTCCAGACCGTGTGTGTGTATGTGTGTGTGTGTGTGTGTGTGTGTAAAATAGTCTATCCAGAAAAGAAAATCCAGCCATTGTTACTATAAGGAGAATGGTTTGTGTGACTTGATGGAGAATAGACTGGCAGCCAAGGAGAGTGGACTGGAATGCACATGTGTGAACATTGATACCACCACTGTACTAGTCCGTGGGGACAGTAGGCGCCGTTGAGTGTACTGTGTGGCCATCACTTTCAAAATGACTGAGCAAGTAGAGCAACAAATCTGCATCAAAGTTTGCATTAAGCTTGAACATTCCCCTGGAAACTATGCGGATGATTCAGAAGGCCGCAGCTATGGGCAATCAGCTATGAGTGACTGGCATCTTCATTACGACAGTGTGCCTGCTCATGCATCACATCTCATGCAGAGTTTCTTGGCAAAACATCAAATCACCCCAGCGACTCAGCCCCCCTACAGCCCAGATTTGGCACCAGCAACTTCTGGCTTTTCTCAAAATTAAAATCACCTTTGAAAGGAAAGAGATTTCAGGCCATCGATGAGAATCAAGAAAATGTGACAGGGCAGCTGATAGCTACTGGGGAAACTATGTGAGGCCCGAAGGTGCCTGCTTTGAAGGGGACTTAGGTATCATTGCCCTGTGTACAATGTTTCTTATATCTTCTTCAGGAAATGTCTATTTTTCACATTACATGGATGGATACTTTCTGGACAGACCTCTTATAGTGTGTTTCTTTGTCTCCTATTTCCTAAATTAAAAGATGGAAGCATTTGACAGATTGTTTTTTGAGTAGCCAAAAATATGCTGTAAAAACTCCTTCAAAAAACAAAACAAAACACCAAAACTAAATAATCCTTTATTCCACTTCTCTACCATCCAAACAAGTGTGCTTGATTTTTGGATTGCATATAGGTTTTATGTCATGTTTCAGATCTGGTTCCACCAAGCTTTGCAAACAGGCATTATTTTGAGCTTGACCTCCAAACTACAGAAATTTTAAGTCTTTTCTGAAAATTAAATAAATAAATCCATGGAAGGAGCTTAACATATGTACGGAGTTATAATAGGTGCTCCCAAACTACTTACTAGTCATCTCTGGAAGAACTGAGTCAGAATTGTGATCAGATGGTACTATCCTAGGCAAAACTTGATATATGCAGTTATTTTATATCAGCTGACTGGAAAGAATCCTCCACGGATTTTTTTAAAGACCAAAGCCTGCATGTGATGTACTCTGAGCCAGATTATGAACGTAGCAGGTATTCTCTGACCCTACCTCTAGCTTACCTGGTCCCATTTCATAGAAATGTTTGAGAGACAGCTTGCAGGTTTTTATTTACACTGCCCAGTGTTTTCACAGGTTTTTGAAAAAGATTCGTCAATTTGGAATTTCGTTACCAATCCCCAGTCCAATTCAGATTAATTATATGTCCATTATGTGCCTAGCATTTAGGGCTCAGATCAAATTGATCCTGAAATGTAAACAAACTGACTTTTGAAATGTTTATTCTAAAACAACTTGCCAAATTTCAGTCTCACTTAGGTAGCTTTTTGGTTATTTGTTGGAGGTCTTTTAATTCTCTTTCGAAAGTAAATTGTGGAAGGCTTAGAATGCAGATCAGCAAGGTTTGAAAAATTTTACTTCCTTCTCCTTGCTTACTCCTTAGGAGTATGTTAAAGCAAAAAGCCTGCATCTTGATTGTTATTCTCTCCTAGGTTTCAGTGAAAATCATTCTTGAGGTTCATGTTTCAGACAAAAGCACTTGATGCAATGCATAACTGAAGCAGTTCTCAGCGAGCCTGCATTTCTAACCTTTCTATAATGTTTGACCCTGTGGCAGTAAAGGCAGTCCATTTTTGTCCTGGGACCAGAGACAGTCTCCCTATTGACATTAATATTCACAGTGGCTTTCTTGAACTCCAGAGGGGAGAAAGATATTTAAAATTTCAGTAGCACAGTAGAGCTTTTCTTTCATTTTTTTCTATTATTTTTTTCTATTCCTTTATATGTAATATTATATTTGTATTCTCTTCCAGAGTGTGAATGGATTGGCTGTATTTTTGCATTCCCCCCACATATCTCTGCCTGCCTGACCCTCCTTAACTCACTTTTGTCATGTGTAAAATGAGGAAATGTGACTAGATTGTCTTTGTTGTTTTTGTTTACTTCAGTCACCATGCTGTACATTACATCTCCAGAACTCGTTTGTTATAACTGGAATTTTGTACCTTTTGACCACCTTCACCCATTTCACCATTCCTCACCAGCTTAATTTAGTGTGATATCATCACTTCTTAATTTTGTATTTTAAATAGATTGTTTTAAAGGGGAGTTGTATTTTTCCTCATACACTTCTAAAATGATTTGAAGCCTGATTTTTAAAACTTGTGACAACATGGCAGTAATCAGGAAAAGATAAATGTGCTTGGGAAATATATGGGTAGATACTTAGTCAAGGAGGGATTTTAACTCCTGCTATTTAAGGTTCTGTTTATTAGTTGTTTTATTTTACATTGTAGTTAGAGGTGCAGTCAGTTTGCTGATATCAGATACTGTAGAGAGTCTGTTCTGTGTGAAAAGGGGCCTTAGGTGCATTTCAGTAAATACAGCATTATGTATTAATGACTAACCTGGTAATGGGGTGGGAAGTTGTGATTCTTAAAATTTTATACTGAGTTTTCAGTAACTTTCTACTGATTGTTCCATCCCATTATTTTTTACCTTTTCCTACCTCCTGTTATTCCTGTCCTGGAAAAAAAGGCAAATGATGCTCATGAAATTTTTAAAGCAATTTGAAATATTGACTTGAAATATTCATCAACTAAGTGGGAAATTTTAATTTTTTCTTTTACTTTAAATTTGCTTTGGAGTTATTTAGAATCTGTCCTTTTAATAAGAGCACAGAATTCATTTGTAATACACGATCTCAGAAATTTTGCCTAGGCTCAGATTTTGTGTTTCAAAACGGGCTTCCTATACATTGATACTGTAGAGAGAATACATTTAGCATTTACTTGAGAAAAGGTGTTCTACTATGAGCTGCTCCTAGTTGATATTGTATAAAAGCTTACAATATGGTTAGCTTGGGCTTTTTCTCACAAGACACTTAGATATTTGAGGTATCGTAGGGTTGTACACATAGCAAGAAAGCAATAGCTTTGATGATAGAGGTTAAGATGAGAGGTGGCTGAATTTTTGTGCCTGGGCTCTTTGGTGTGGCTTTCAAACGAGAGATAAAATATGATGCTGCTTAGTAGCTTGACCACTAAGGCATTTCTTTTTCTCTCTCCTCTTCTTTCATCCATCCGTCATGCAGAAGATGAAAAGGCAAAGCGAGAAGTGTCTTCCTGGACTCTAGAAGGTGATATTAACACTGACCCATGGGCAGGTTATCGATACACTGGTAAACTCCGACCACATTATCCACTGGTGAGTAAATAAGGTAATAAAAATTTCACATTCTTTTAAACCAATTTTCAGAGTTTTCAGTTCCCTAAAAATGGTACCTCTAATTTGTATTCATATTATGAATCCATATAATCAGGATTATTTGCATTTTTAGCACTTTTTATGGGTACATTATTTGGAAGTTAATAGGGATAATTGGCAATCATGAAAAAGGAGAAAAAATTTTAGATGAAAGGATGAAAACTTTTTTAATCTCAAAAAAAGGAAGTGGGATTTCTGGCCAAGATGGAGGTGTAGGTAGACACACAGCGCCTCCTCGCACAACCAAAATAAGGACAACAAAAAATTAGAAACAAAAAAACAACCAGTACTGACAGAAAATTGAATTGTATGGAAGTCCGACAACCAAGGAGTTAAAATAGACACATTCATCCAGACAGGTAGGAAGGGTGGAGTGGGGCAGCTGGGTGGAGAGGGGTCACGACAAAAAAAGCAGTGGCTGGTAGACCCCGGGTGTGCAAGGTGGCGCCTGGTGGACCCAGCGAGACAGCAGATTGTGGAGGGGCATGGCACGCAAGGTGGGTGGCGGACTGGGTGATCCCACATTCATGCACAGATAAACCAGGCAACACTGGGGAGAAGGACAGACTGCACAACCCAGGGCTCTAGCGTGGGGGCATAAAGCCTCAAAACATCTACTGAAAACACCTGTGGGGGTAGAGGTTCCGGGACAGACTCCCAGCCTCACAGGAGAGTTCATTGGAGAGACCCACAGGGTCCTAGAACATACACAAGCCCATCCAGAAGAAAATTATCACCAGAAGGGCCCAGTTTGCTTGGGGGAAGTGGTGGAAGGGAGTGAAATCCAGCAGAGAGTGGAGCAAGCGCCATTGTTCCCTCTTGGACCCCTCTCCACATACAGCATCACAACTGGGTTGCCCCACTTGGGTAAACAACTAAGGCTCTGCCCCTCACTATGTAATGGGCGCATCAAGACAAGACAAAAATAAAATAGCCCAAATGAAAGAACAGATCAAAGCTCCAGAACAAATACAACTAAGCAACGAAGAGATTGCCAGTCTATCAGATGCACAGTTCAAAGCACTGGGAATCAGAATGCTTACAGAATTGGTTGAATTTGGTTGCAAATTAGATGAAAAAATGAGGCTACACTAAGTGAAATAAAGGAAAATATACAGGGAACCAATAGTGATGGGGGAAGGAAACTGGGACTCAAATCAATGGTGTGGACCAGAAGAAAGAAAGAAAGAAATATCCAATAAGAAAAGAATGAAGAAACAAGAATTCAAAAAAATGAGGAGAGGCTTAGGAACCTCCAGGACATCTTTAAACATTCCAACATCTGAATTATAGGGGTGCCAGAAGGGGAAGAGGAAGAACAACAAGTGGAAAAGTTATTTGAACAAATAATAAAGGAGAACTTTCCCAATCTGGCAAAGGAAATAGACTTCCAGGAAATACAGGAAGCTCAGAGAGCCCCAAAGAAGTTGGACCCAAGAAGAAACACACCAAGGCACATCATAATTACATTAGCCAAAATTAAAATGAAGGAGAGGATCCTAGAAGCAGCAAGAGATAAGGAGACAGTTACCTACAAAGAAGTTCCCATCAGACTGTCAGCTGATTTCTCCAAAGAGACCTTACAGGCAAGAAGGGGCTGGAAAGAAGTCTTTGAAGTCATGAAAGGCAAGGACCTACATCCAAGATTTCTCTATCTAGCAAAGCTTTCATTGAGAATGGAAGGGCAGATAAAGTGCTTCTCAGATAAGGTCAAGTTAAATAGTATGGGAAATGTAGAAGTTCATCATCACCAAGCCCTTACTATATGAAATGTTAAAGGGACTTATCTAAGAAAAAGAAGATAAAAAACGTACAGTAAAATGACAAAAAACTCAGAATTATTAACCACCACACCTAAAAAACAAAAACAAACTAAGCAAACAACTAGAACAGGAACAGAACCACAGAAATGGAGATCACATGGAGGGTTAGCAACAGGGGAGTGGGAGGAGGAGAGAGGGGAAAAGGTACAGAGAATAAGGAGCATAGAATGTAGGTAGAAAATAGACGGGGAGGGAAAGAATGGTATGGGAAATGTAGAAGCTGAAGAACTTATAAGTATGACACATGGACATGAACTAAAGGAGGGGAATGTGGGTGGGAGAGGGGGTACAGGGTGGAGGGGAGGGAAGGGGGGAATGGGACAACTGTAATAGCATAATCAATAAAATATATTTTAAAAAATAAAAGAAAAAAGAAAGTGGTAGAATAGCTGTTGTCTGGCTGGCATGATGGTGGTGTATATCACTATTCTAAAATTTTTTAATGTGTATTTTGGCCTTACTTTTGATATGGTTTCCTACCACTCTCACCCCTTTCTGTGCTTTTTGTCAGATGGTTTTCAGAGGGTCAACAGAGGAATCCATTTAAGTTAAAATTTGTCATCCATAAATATTTAAATTTTTTACTGATTTTCTTTTTAAAATAAAAGAAATGCATCTTTAAAAATTTGGACAGATATCAACAATATAAGAATGCTTTTTAATCCTACCTCCCAGAGATAATGATCAGGGATGTAATGGTGTATATTTACGTAGAGACATTATTTTATTGTTGTTGGTTTGCCAGTTTCTTGGGAACAACATGGGCACCTGGATATCTACATGTGATGTTAAATCCTTAATGGCCTTGGCCACTCTCCCCCTTATGATATTTAACTGGTATTAGCACTAGGGAAATGAAGCTTAATCTTCGTGAAATAGGTATATTATGATAATTAAGTTGTCATTTAAAACTTTTTTCATTTAAATGAAATAACTTGTTAGTGTTTTTCTCCCACTTTAACATCCTTTGTTAGTAAATTTTAATTATGAAAAGTGTTTTCATATTTGAATTGGTTTTAACTAACATACGTCTTTGATATTTTTAGATGCCAACAAGGCCAGTGCCAAGTTATATTCAAAGACCAGATTATGCTGATCACCCTTTAGGTAAGTTCTGTTGTGCCGATTCCTCAGTTTTCAATTTGTAAGCCTGATGACTACTGTAAAATAAAGGAGTGTTTTTTCTTGGAGAAATTTTTCAATGCTTGCTTTGCTTTTTGTTTTAGTGCTGGATTTCTAATAAATGTAAATATGGCTTTTACATTTGTGAAGATTAAAGATTCTTTTCTTCCAAGAAATCTGCCCCATTGTGAAAACATTGTGTAGATGTTACAGACTACATTCGACATAATATAATGTGTTATATCAAATTCTAGGTTTAAAAAAAGTTTGATTTTAACATGTCCTCTTACTTTAATTAAACAAACACAGATTGTGTAGGCCTAAAATGCATGCCTAACTAAAGACTGGACAAGTGTGGCTTAGTGGTTGAGTGCCAGCTTGCGAACCAAATGGTCACCAGTTTGATTCCTAGTCAGGACACATGACTGGGTTGTGAGCCAGGTCCCCAGTAGGGGGCGTGAGACAGGCAACTGCACATTGATGTTTCTTTCTTTTCCTTTCTCACTTCCTTCTCCTTTCTCTAAAACTAAACAAACACAGTCTTAAAAAAAAAATAGAAAGACTGGACTACAGCAGTAATAGAACCAGCAGTAATGGTAATAATTATAGTAGTAGTAATGATGATGATTCTATAACTGATCTTTATTTTTTTATAACTATGTGTCAGGCACTGTGCTAAGTTCTCACATATGTTATTCCTGGGGTGGTTCTGTTGTCTTTTTCATTTTATAGATGATGATAGTGAGGCACATAGAGAAGGTAGATAATTTGCAGTAGAAAGTGGAGCAATCTCTGACCTTTTTGGGCCTGTAGATATAATTTAAGTTGGATTATGTGAAATTACTGCTTTTGCATGCCAAAAACAGTTGAATATCAGTATTTTCGTGTAGTTAAATCTGTTAAGCTAAGCTACTATTGCTTTGTTCTCTAAGAAGTACAGAACCAATTACATTTTATCAATATAATTTAAAAATTTAGTTAAACTTTACTGTTTCAGATATTGGGTTGGCCAAAAAGTTCATTTGTTTTTTTCCCTAAGATGGCTCTAGTAGTGCTTAGTTGTCTTTAACTTCATTGGAAACAATTTTGTTGGATTGTACTGTGACAGTTGTCATATCTGTGTGCATTTAAAAAAACCATCAAAATTGGTGGATTTTTGTGTAGCCATTTTAATATAGAAGATAGAAGAAAATATGCAACATTTTGGCACATTATGTTGCCGAAATAGTAAAATTATTATTTTATTATTTTAAAAAGGTAAAAATGAAGCCGAAATGCAAAAAAAGATTTGTGCAGTACATGGAGAAGGTGCTGTGACTGATCGAACATGTCTAAAGTGCTTTGCGAAGTTTTGTGTTGGAGATTTCTCACTGGACGATGCTCCACAGTTGAGTAGACCAGTTGAAGTTGATAGGGATCAAATTGAGACATTAAGAATAGTCAACATTATATCACACATGAAATAGCTGACATACTCAAAATATCCAAATCAATAAAGTTATTGGTGAAAATAAAAAATGTGTCTTTTATTTTAATAGCATAAACTAAACAAACTTTTTGGCCAACCCAATTCATTGAAGGAAAAGATAGTCTGAATGATACATACCTCTTCAGGATGAATAATTTCCTTAGCCTGTATTTAATATTTTAAATATAATTTTTAAAAATACATAGACATGGTAAGCCCTGGCTGGCGTAGCTCAGTGGATTGAGCACGGGCTGGGAACCAAAGTGTCCCAGGTTCAATTCCCAGCCAGGGTACATGCCTGGCTTGCAGGCCATAACCCCCAGCAACCGCACATTGGTGTTTCTCTGTCTATCTCCCTCCCTTCCCTCTTTAAAAATAAATAAATAAAATCTTTAAAAAAATACATAGACATGGTAAATTCTAATATGATAAAATATTACACAGGGAAAAGAAAGTCCTACTCCCTAAAGATAAAAGAACTATTAACAAGAGTTGCCGAACTGTCCAGAGATATTTTATGTGTGTGCACATATCAGCTGTTCTCCCAAAATAGGAAGAAACTATATATATCTTTTCACCCTGTTATATTCTCTCAGTACATCTTGTAAAGAGGTCCATATGAGCCCATAAAACTACATGTTTCTTTTTAATGACAAGTGTTTCATTGTGTGGATATATCATAATTTATTAAACCAGGCTCTTCCTACTGTGTATTCAGATTACTTCCCGATTTTTTACTTCTTTGACTGTGGTAACTGTTCTTTCAAGTTACGTGTTTAGGTACATGTGAGAGTATTTCTGTAGGTTAATTGCTTGAAGTAAAAAAGCTGGATCAAAGAATACATGCATTTTTTATTTTGAGAGATAAAACAAATGTTAGAGATTTTGCCAGTTGTTACTTTCATTAACATATAGGAGTCTCTTCTTTCCCTTATCTTCCCCAGCAGTAGTGTATTATCAAACTTTGTGATCTGTGCTAAACTGAAAGATAAAAGATGGTATTTTGCTGTTATTTTAATGTGTAGTTTTAAATTATGAATAAGGTTGAACATCGTATATGCTAAAAGCCGTTGCATTTTCTTTCCTTTTGAACTATTCATCCTTAGCCTTTTTTTTTCAATTATGTTACTAGTTTTTCCATCCTGATTTATAAGCACTCTTTCTATACTAAGGAAAATAATCCTTTGATGTTATGTGCTGTAACTGTTTTATCCCAAATGAACATTTGCATTTTGTCTCCGTTTATAGCATTACATTTATGACACATTTTCAGCATTTTTCTCTAATAAAATTTATCCATGTTATCTTTTAAGGTATCTATAGCTTAATGACCTAGAGAGACCCTCTTGGTTCAGAGATTATAAAAATATTTTTCCATTTTTTTCTTCCACTGTTTTTATGGTTTCAGTCTTTTTATCACTGACATTTTTATTTAGTATAAAGAATTAAATATGGATGTAACTCCCTCCCTGAAAGAATATCTGGTTTTCAGATTACTAGTTATTTAAAATATCTTTTTCCTATTGATTTAAAATTTTGTATAATATAATTACATTAAATTCTCACAGGTCTGTGAGTCTGTTTTTTTATTATATTCTGTTTCATTGACCCATTTGTCTAATCATGTGCCATTGTCAAACTCTTAATTATAATACCTATATAATGTTTTAATTGGTAGGCCTTGTTGCCTTCACCTTTCCTCTTTTTCAGAATTTTCCTGGCTATTCTTACATGTTTGTTTTTTTATATGAAATTTGGAATCAGTTTGTCTGGTTCCCTAAAATACCCTGTTGCATTTTTTTACTGGGATAGTATTAAATTTATAGACTAATTTTGGAAGAATTGACACCTTTATAATATTGAGGCTTCCTATCCAAGAACGGGGTATGTTTTTCTGTTTTATTTAAGTCTCCTTTATCTCTTTCAGTGGTATTTTAAAATTTTTCTTCATTAGGTCTTTCATTAAGTTTATTCCTTGATACTTTATTTTTTTTTAGTTATTCTTAAATACTATCTTCTATATCTTCTAGCTCATTTCATTTGTATATGGGAAAGTTACTGATTTTGACATATTTATCTTATAATCTGCCAACTTGCCAGGGGTCCTACTCTAGGGATATATTAATCATATCTGAAATTGATAAAGGTTTTGTTCTTTTCTTTCTAATTTGTATGTTTTATTTCTTCCTCTTGTTTAAACACCTGCTGGTACTGTGTGGACAGTGTTAAATAGTGGTGCAGATAGTGGGCATTCCATGATGTAGGTTCTTGGTTTGAGATTTATAGTTATTGTGCTGGCTGTGTTATCAGAATTAACTTTCTAGATGATCATTGATTTACTTTTCCTTCCTTAATCTGTGGTGAATTATTAGATTTGTTAATAGTTAACTATCTTTGCCTTTGCAAAATGAATCTCACTTCAGTCATGGTGTATTATATGTATCTTGGATTCTGTTTAATATTTTAATTGGGATTTTTATATCAGCATTTATAAAAGTATATATATTCTTTTTGCCAGATTTTGAAATAATTAGTGTACTGGCTCTAATATTTTTAAATATATATGAATAATAAGAGTTCAGGTAATTTTATTAATGAAGATTTTAGGGCAATATTTTTCCATATTTTTTTATTGTAACCCAGAGTGAGAAATATATTTTATAATATGATCTGTGTATATGTGTATGCATGTTGTGTAAATCAACAAACATTTCACAGTAGCACTTATCCCTACTCCTTGTATGATATACTCTGTTTTATTTTACTTATTTTAAAAATACTAGTCATAGCACATATTAATAGGCCACCAACAGCAGCTTGAAAAACACTGACTTAGGTTCCTATTTAAAAAAATACATGTGTGTAATTGATTCTTCAGTTGCTGGTGCATAGTTTCATTATGCGATGGTGATCATGAAAGCAGTTTGTAAATTTTGTGCTACTGTTTGAATGGGAATCACTTACTGACCTTATTAGCACACTGCCTATCATATAACAAGTAATCCATATAGACTGAATTCTAATAGATCTGTAAATTTGTTATTTAGAATTCTTCAGTTTATTTAGCAAATTTCCTTTTTATGTTGAAAATATTGTTTTGAGAAATCTGGCCCAGACCCTCCAAAATACAAAATACCCTTGTGTGAAATAGTGAAACTTATTATGTCATTGGGAAAATAATTATGCCTAATAACTACATCTTCCCTCTGTTCACGTGTTTTTCCTTACTGATTTTCCTTTCCAGGAATGTCTGAATCTGAACAGGCGCTTAAAGGTACCTCTCAAATTAAATTACTCTCATCTGAAGATATAGAAGGAATGCGGCTCGTATGTAGGGTAAGCATTTTTTTCCCTCATGGTTGTAGGACATGTTTAAGCAGTTGTTAGACATGAAGTCAGTGATTTACAAAGGGCAGGTGTGTTATGTTGTAAGGCTATGACTAGCCGTACTTACTGGGTTGGCCAAAAATTGGTTTAGTTTTTTTCCATGAAATAAGACACATTTTTCATTTTCACCAGTAACTTTATTGATTTGGATATTTTGAGTATGTTGGCTATCTTCTGCTATTGGCTTCTAGTGGATAGAGGCCAGGTGTGCTGCTAAATATATTCCAATGCTTAAGACAGCCCCACAGCAAAGAATTGTTTGGCCCAAATGTCAGTACTACCAAAAAACTTCACAAAACACTTTCAACGTGTTCGGTCAGTCACAGCACCTTCTCCATACACTCAACAAATCTTGTTTTGCATTTCAGTTGCATTTTTACCTTTCTTGAAATAATAAAGCATAACACACTGAAAATGCTGCATATTTTCTTCTGTCTTCAATATTAAAATGGCTGTACAAAAATACACCAATGTTGATAAGTTTTTAAAAATGTACACTGATGTAACAGCTGTCACAATACAATCTAACAAAATTGTCTCGAATGAAGTTAAAACAACTAAGCAGTAGTAGAGCTATCATACAGGAAAAACTAAATGAACTTTTTTGCCAGCCCAATACTTAAAAAACTTTTGTTAGTATATAATTCTGTGCAGCATTTGTTTTATTCCTAAGTATCCTATTTGAAAATGAATATGGCAGAAAATATATATTTAGTTGAGAATTTATTTTTGTTACCCCTTGTATTTTTTTTTAAGAACCAGGTTTTTATGATATTTTGTCATTTATTTCATAGGTCATTATAACGAAGGGCAGAGTTTAAGGTTTATATAAAGTTAAGCTAAAACTCCCGTTGTGAATACCTGTACAGTATGGTATTAGTGGCTAAGTGAAGTCACATGTCCACATTTTTCTAAGGAAAAAACTGAAAAATTGATAGTGTTTATTTAGAAATGATCCTTAAAGTTTTTATTCAGTGCTTTAAAGTGATTTGATACTTTCTCTGATAATCTGGAGACATTTATATTTCTATCACTATGTATTGTGATTCTTTGAGGAAAATCATTCATGTATTCTTTTATTTCCCTTCTTTTTCCCCATTATGAGAAATATGACAGGACTGAACCTCCACCAGCTGATTATTATTTAGACTACATATGTACATTTTTACATAGAAATCAATCAAATTTATTGAGCTATTTACTAGTTAGTCTACTTTTAGTTATATATTTACACACGTTCATTGATGAGCATTGGAAATACAACTGGTTTTTATAATGGAGATTCAGGGTTGTAATATTCAAAGTGAGATGCACTTTATGAATCTCTCACAAAATCTGTTACAGTGCAGAAGGTACAAATTTCCACTTTTATTTCGTTTCTCTTTTAATGGACTAAGTATTAAGGGTTTCTCTTTTACAGCTTGCTAGAGAAGTACTGGATATTGCCGCTGGGATGATTAAACCAGGTGTAACTACTGAAGAAATAGATCATGCTGTACACTTAGTAAGGATTTGACTTTTATGCTTCGAAATTTTTTCACATTATTAAATGTTTTAGAGCTGTAAAAGTTAAACAAGTTCTGAATGTCTAAGTTAACTTGGCTAAGTTAATTTAAAAGCAAATTTTTACTTTGTTTTAAATATAAAAAATATTCAACAGCCATTATTCGCATCTTTCAGTGCCTGTGAAATGCTTTGTTTCTGAAACCTCAGATTTCCTAATATTTTACGTTAGCTTTTATAAATGATTAGTTTTATTAGTACTTGAAATAAATCATGCCACTGCATACATCAGATACTCTAAAATAAAAAGAATACAAGTTCTGAAACTGGATTAGTGTAAAAAAAAAGTTCCCTTCCAAATCCATGGTAATAAGGCAATAAATACACCAGATACAGGATGGGCAAAAGTAGGTTTACAGTTGTGTTTGCATAAAACAGTTCATTCTTTTATTGATATTTATTGATTATTGTATTGTTTTCCATATGAACAACTGTAAACCTACTTTTTGCTACACTCAGTAAATATGATATAGGGATATATGTTCTTAAAGTATATTTTATTGATTATGCTATTACAGTTGTACCATTTTTTTCTTGCATTTATCCACTTCCACCCAGCCCCCCACCTCCCACCAGCATTCCACCCTACTTTGTTCATTTCCATGGGTCATACATATAAGTTCTTTGGCTTCTACACACTGTTCTTAACCTCCTCCTGTCTATTTTCTACCTACCATCTATGCTACTTATTCCCTGTACCTTTTCCCCCATCCTCCCTCCTCCCCGTGCCTGCTGATAACCCTCCATGTGATCTCCATTTTTGTGATTGTTCCTGTTCTAGTTGTTTGCTTATTTTGTTTTTGGTTTTTAGGTTTAGTTGTTGATAGTTGTGAGTTTATTGTCATTTTACTGTTCATAATTCTGATTTTCTTTTTCTTGGATAAGTCCCTTTAACATTTCTTATAACAAGGACTCGGCAATGATGAACCCCTTTAACTTTACCTTATCTTGGAAGTACTTTATCTGCCCTTCCATTCTAAATGATAGCTTTGCTGGATATAGTAATCATGGATATAGTTCCTTGCTTTTCATGACTTGGAATACTTCTTCCCAGTCCCTTGCTTGCAAGGTTTCTTTTGAGAAATCAGCTGATCGTGTTATAGGAACTCCTTTGTAGGTAACTGTCTCCTTTTCTCTTGCTGCTTTTATGATTCTCTCCTTATCCTTAATCTTAGGTAATTTAATTAGGGTGTGTCCTTGGGTCCAGTTTCTTTGGGACTCTGAGCTTCCTGGACTTCCTGGAAGTCTATTTCCTTTGCCAGATTGGGGAAGTTTTCCTTCATTATTTTTTCAAATAAGTTTTCAATTCCCTGTTCTTGTTCTTCGCCTTCTGGCACTCCTATAATTCAGATGTTGGAATATTTAAAGTTGCCCCGGAGGTTCCTAAGCCTTTCCTCATTTTCTTTTTTTGAATTCTTGTTTCTTCATTCTATTCTGGTTGACTGTTTATTTTTTCCTTCTACTACAAACCGTTGATTTGAGTCCTGGTTTCCTTCCCTTCCCTGTTGGTTCCCTGTATATTTTCCTTTATTTCACTTTGCATAGCCTTCACTTTGTCCTCTACTTTTCATCTCTATTCAATCATTTCTGTGAGCATCCTGATTATCAGTGTTTTGAACTCTGTATCTGATAGGTTGGCTATCTCCTCATTGCTTAGTTCTTTTTCTGGAGTTTTGATCTGTTCTTTTTGGGGCCATATTTCTTTGTCTTAGCATGCCTGTTACGTACGTAGTAAGGGGCAGAGCCTTAGGTGTTGGCCGGGGTGGGGCAATCCACTTCACTGTGTTGTGGCACTGTCTGTGGAGGAGGGAGTCAGGGAGGGAACAGTGCCACTTGCTCAGCTCTTGCCCCACTTTTAGTTACGTTCCCTGCTATCCACAAGCAAATTAGGCCCTTCTGGTTTTGATTTTGCAGGTGGGTGGGTTTGTGTACGTTCTAGGACCCAGAGGGTTTCTCCAACAAACTCTCCTGTGAGGCTGGGAGTTTTTCCCACTGTGCCAACCTCTACAGGATTTTACAGCCAGAGGCTTTGAGGTTTTATATCCCTGCACTGGAACCCTGGGTTGCTCAGTCATCACACTCCCCAGTTATTCCTCCCAGTTTATATGCACACAAATGTGGGACCACCTGGTTCACCAGTTGCTGCCTTGCTGTGAGTCCTCTCCTCTCCAACTACCAGTCTGGATGAATGTTTCTTCTTTAATTCCTAGATTGTCAGACTTCCATACAGTTCAATTTTCTGGCAGTTCTGGTTGTTTTTGTTTTTAAATTTGTTGTTGTTCTTTTGGTTGTGCAAGGAAGCAAAGCGTATCTACGTATGCCTCCATCTTGGCTGGAAGTTGGGTTTTCTTTGTTTGTTTGTTTGTTTTTGTAAGATTGCCTGTCCTTCAAGGAGAGACCTTTATCTCTATAGTAGCTGAATGCATACATTATATGAATAATTGTTCACAAAAGAGCAATAACTAGCTAATAAATCTAATGGAAAGTTAATTAAATGTGCTGTGAATATTAAACATTCAAATCATAGATTTTCTAAATTAGCCCTGGCTATGGCTCAGTGGATTGAGCATTGTCCTGAGAACCGAAGTGTTACTGTTTCGATTCCCAGTCAGGGTACATCGAAGGTGTAGGCCAGGCCCCAATAGGGGGTGCATGATAGGCAACCACACGTTGATACCTCTCTCTCTCTTCCTCCCTTCCCTTCTCTCTAAAAATAAAAAAATAAAAATAAAAAATATATATATATTAAGTATATTTAAAAAAATAAAAAGTAACGATCTACTAAATTAGTAATTGTTTTTAAAAATGTTTATATCCTCTGCCTATGTGGGGATGATGAAATGTGGTGGTATTATAAATATAACCACCCTTTTGAAAGGAAATTTGGCAGTGTGTCTTGAGCATAAGTACGTTTTTAAAGACTTTATATTCAGAATGTCATAAACCATGATGTTTTGGTTATTGTTCCATATGTTATAAAACGTAGTATGCAGGAATAGCACTTTGAGTATTTCCTATGGGCCAGGTGCTCTTTTAGGAGCTCATTTAATATCCTAACAGCTTCATGAGGTAGTTACTACTAGCATCTCCATTTTGTAGGTAAGGAAGCTGAGACAGAGAGAGGTTAAGTTGCCTAAGGCTGGTACACAGTGATGGAGTTGGCATTGTTAGGGCAGTCTGCTATAAGAAATATAGGAATAAATTGTTAAGCAAGGGAGAAGTGTTATTTATGTGGTTATTGGCAAGGAGTGATGATTTTTGCCATTAAGAAACTTAATTTAAATTGCCAAAATATGGTATATTCCACAAATTGTGTTATATGAAACTATTTAACAATTATTAATCTGAAGACTATATGGCAGTATGGCAAAAAATTACATGTGCTATGACTGGCACTTTATAAAAATATCTTATAGTAAAATAGGACTTGCCATGGAAAACTAGGCCATTGTCTTAGAGGTTTCTTTGTTGTTCCACATGGATGTAGTAAAGTACTTTTCCATATCTTAATTATATCAGTATTCTTTTTTTGGCTATAAGGATATTGGGCTGTTTTTATATAAGAAATTATAATTACATTAAAAGTGCATGTTAATATTAACTTTCTCTTTTTTATTTAAAATAATATATTTTCCTTAAGTAGTTAATTCTAAACTAGAATTTTCATATTTACATATATAATATGTAAATTTCCTTTTCCTTTGCTATTATCAGTAAACTGGTTTGCCTACAGCCTGTCTGACTGGCACAAACCCTGGTACTTACTGTGTAAGATAAAAATACAGCCATTTCTAAAATAAAATAATTAAGCAAATTCTTCATTAATAGCACCTGCACTGCAAAATTTTCAGTTTTCAAATTTTAAAATCTGGTTAATTGCATAAGATTAATTTTTTTGTTTTATACATCCCAAATTATTTTCTCTGTATTTTAATTTATTATAGGCATGCATTGCAAGAAATTGCTATCCTTCTCCCTTGAATTACTATAATTTTCCAAAGTCTTGTTGTACTTCAGTGAATGAAGTGATCTGTCATGGGATTCCAGACAGACGGCCCTTGCAAGAAGGTGATATTGTCAATGGTAAGAAATATGTCCAGGAGCAAAAATAACAGTAAGGTGTAGAGAGTTTGGTAGTGACTTGATTTTCTTCACTTCCTGTCTTTAACATCCTCTTTCATATTTAAAATTTTAAATCTTAAATTTGTGGAATCCTTTTTATGGTTTAAGATACTTCTAATATGATGCATTTGTTACAGCATGTATTTCTTTAATTCACATTATCTCATGTAATTGATAAATATGTCAGTGAAATGTGGGAATAATGTTGATTCAAGTGGGATTTTTCACCTTTTTCTTTTAGTCCATTGATTATTTTGAATGAGTTCAGGGCAGGCTTTTTTGAAGAGAAAGAGAAATCTTTAGTGATATATGAAGATCTTAAGGAAAAAAAGCTAAAATTCCTCCAGAAGTGCCTTCCTTCATGTAAGAAGTTAAGCTTTCTTGGAAAGCTGCAAATGCAGAGGAAGAAGCTGCCCAGATATTTTCCTCTGTGATTTAAAAAAAAATGATGAACAAGGCTTCCCTTGATGGTATTGAGTTGGCCAAAAAGTCCATTTAGTTTCTTTCCGTAAGATAAGACACATTCTTTTTTTTTTTTTCAAGCGACAACTTTATTGATTGCATATTTTGAGTATGTCGGCTATCTCCCACATGGTGTAATATTGATTGTTCTCAATTAATGTCTCAATTTGATCCCTATCAACTTCAACTGGTCTACCCAACAGTGGAGCATCGTCCAGTGAGAAATCTCCTACAGAAACTTTGCAAAGCACTTTTGACACGTTCGATCAGTCACAGCACCTTCTCCATACACTGCAAAATCTTTTTTTTTGTTTCAGTTGCGATTTTAACCTTTCTTGAAATAATAAAGCATAATATGCCCAAAATACTGTGTATTTTCTTCCATCTTTAGTATTAAAATGGATATACAAAAACTCATCAATTTTGATTTTTTTTTAATGTATGCTGATATGACAGCTATCAAAATGCAGTCTAACAAAATTGTTTCTAATGAAGTTGAAGACAAGTGCTACTACAGCTATCTCACAGAAAAAGCCAAACGAACTTTTTGACCCACCCAGTATTTTTAATGTTGATGATCTTGGTCTTTTTAGTAATCTGGCATCTTCAGGGACCTACATATCGAACAAGGAGGCGTGAACCCAAGTGTTAAAGGCTGCACAGAATGCACTGACAGTGATGCTGGCTGTGAATGACAGTGGAAACGCTGTTTTTATTTGGATTGTTACTACTTTAGTTAGAGTATCTGTTTATGAACTTCCATAGGTTTTGCGGGATTTGCCCAACCCTGTTTTTCATATAAATCCTGTTATTTATGACATGCATAGTATGTGAGGTTTTTAGGGATGTGTGTATTATGCTAGAGCCAGCCCACCTGTACTCTGACATTGTAGGTTGATTGAGAATTCATGGTTTAAAAATACTCATTTAATGTGCTGTCTAGTATACATTTAATGTATTATCCTGTGGCAGTAATCTGTATTCTTAAACATGGGGACACAGAAGGATGAATACTTACAAATAAGTGAAAGGCAAATGAGTTTTTGAAAAATAAGTAAAGAATAGTGGACGATTTCCTGGGAGGAGGGAAAAAACGGTTGCAGATAATAAAGCAGTATTTTCTGTTTAATGTCAAATGTTGCAGTTTTCCATTTAATATCACTAATTCAGGTTATTGGTCTTGCATGAATGTATCCTGGATGCATTTTTCTTCTGCCATAAATGATCTGATTACTACTTTATAAGAGTATATAAAAGCCCACCATCTGGCTTTGCACTGCATGACCATGTCTCTGTCCTTCACAGTGAGCTTAGTTGCATTGTAGATAAAGGTGCCTATCGCATAGTAACTATATATCCATTGGGATCTAATTTGAGAATGCAGAAGTTATCTTTTTCATAAAGCTGCTCGATGCTGTCATGTTGGAGAAATGACTTCAATTTTGAAATAAAAACAAATGTGGTCTTTATATTTGCACATTCTTTTGCAGTGGACATCACTCTTTACCGCAATGGTTATCACGGAGACCTGAATGAGACGTTTTTTGTTGGAGACGTGGATGAGGGAGCACGGAAGCTGGTTCAGACTACATATGAGTGCCTGATGCAAGCCATCGACGCAGGTCTGCCAAGCTGGGTGCCCAGTGGAACTGCTGTGTGTTGATGGGTCTTTAATGACTCATTACTGACTGCACTGGGCATTCCTCTCCCTGCCAGGCTTTGCCTCCCACTCACCTGAGTGAGCTTTGGGTTTTCATAGTAATTGTGGAAGGAAGATTCAGGATCCTTTGATGAGGATAAACTGAATAATTAGTTTGTCTCATGTGATCTATCTTTCTTTGGCTGATAGATGAGGAGGAATGTATGGATAGTTCTTGAGTGTAAACTTTTTCCTACTTTTTTATTCTTTCATAAATATTATGTTCTCATAAAAACTAAAATACAATGCTAGATTATGAGGGAAAAGTGAATGAGTCTCCTTTATGCTCGCCTCTTTTCTTTCCTTTTTATATCTCTTTTCTCTAGAATTACAAAACTCTCAACAGGTTTTTTCCTCCTTTGCATTAATACACACACACACACATACATATATACTTCTGTGTATATGTTTAGTGAGGATAAATGGAACCATGATATTTGTAGTATTCTGTAATTGGGCACTTTTTAGCTAATAATGCTTAGGGATTTTTCTAAATTAGCATATATGTACATGCATTCTCTTATTTTTTTTTAAGATTTTATTTTTATTTTTAGAGAAAGGGGAAGGGAAGGAGAAGGAGTGGGAGAGAAATATCAGTTGGTTTCTTCTCACACACCCCTGTCCAGAGACCTGGCCCACACACAACCCAGGCATGTGCTCTGACCTGGAATCAAACTGGTGACCTTTTGGTTCCCAGGATGATGCCCAACCCACTGAGGCACACTAGTCAGGGTGCATTCTTTTTAAAAATGTTTTTTTTTTTTAATCTTCACCTGAGGATATGTTTATTGATTAGAGAGAAAGAGAGAGAAGCATCAGTTGGTTGCCTCCTGTACGTGCCCTGGCTGGAGGTCGAACCCACATCCTTTTGGTGTGTGGGACAATGTTCCAACCAAGTGAGCCACCTAGCCAAGGCTACTGCATTCTTTTAATGGCTGTCTATTCCATAAAATAAAAATTTCTACAACTATTCCCCTATTGGATTTTTATGTTTTCTAGATGTCTTGCTACTATAATGAATAGTATCTTTGGGTAGAGATGTATGTCTGTAGGATTTTTCTCAGTCTTTGTCCATACAAACAGTTCATCCACATTTTTTTGTTTATGCCTTAGCTTGTGAGGAGAGAGAAGGAAAGTCTTGTTGCAAATGTTAACAGTCTATTACCAAATGGTATAATTTGAGGCCAAACAACTTCCAGTTGAAATCCACAGCATTTCAGCTTTATTGTTCAGTGTTTTGTCCTCATCCCTCCACAACCACTCCACCACCAAAAAAAATAAAATAACCATGATCTGTCATCAACAAAGTATTGGATAGGACAAGATTCTTGGTTTAAACATATAGTTATCTGTAGTAACAGATCCATTGTCTTTATATTGTCTTTAGTTCATTTAACATGCATGGGAGATAATGAAATTTTTATTAATTTAATGAAGTTGGAGGAATGAAAAATGAAAGCATGTGATATTTATGTGTGAGATTTCTTTTTTATGTATTCACTGTTATTGAAATAACTGCTTTAATATTCCCGGTGGTATTGCGAGGTGAGAACTTTAGTGTTTAGTTTCTCATTTGTGGAAACTTTAGTTTTAAATAATTGTTAGGGTTTGTGCCAGATAATGTGTTCAAAGTTCATATCCTTTTTTGCTTCTCTCTGAGTTGATTGAAATATTTTATAGAGACATAGGGAAGAAACTTACCAAGAAACTACCAGAAACCAAAGTCATTATAACATAGCCAGAAAAGAACAAAAATTGTTTAATCTCTGGAAGGCACTAAATACTTTTGTATGAATCATTGATGCCCAATTTTCACTCATTTGGCTGCTCACCAAGGTACAGAGCATTGGAGAGCTTGACCAGGTGTTGAAATTAACCTTCACGAATGGGGTTTCTCAGCCTACACATTAATGGCATTTTGAATTTGATAATTCTTTGTTTTAGGGTCCTGAACACTGTAAGTTCCCTAGTAGCATCCCTGGTCTGTACCTGCCATATGCCATTTGCACCACCACTCCTAGTTGTGGCAGCCAAAAATATCTCCAGATACTACTATGCACCCTTGGAACCAGAACTGTCTCTACTTCGAGAGTTAGGGGAGAAATCTCCCCTTTCATTGTCCCTCGTTATTGATGACTAGGGATGTTCTTCATACTGTGTGCAACATGGGTTAAAATTTTGCCTTTCTTCCCATTTTCTGGGGCTGATAGGAAGGCTTGAATTGGAATGCAAGAAAATTCTTATGAAAGTCAGCATAGTTCCTCAAAATCATTAACCTTTCTCCCCCTCAAAAGTCAACTTGGGACATCTGGTTAAGAGCAAGTAAATGTTAATTAAAATGAATTCTTGAGCTATTGGCCCAGAAATTTGATTGGCTGGAGAAGATAATGTTGTACCTGAATCTCAGGTTGGAAATGAGGCTCAGGTAGGGGACTAGGGAATTGGAGGACCCTGAGAACCATGGCTGCATTTCCCAGGGGTCTCAGTGCTAGGAGAGCTGTAACAGCAACGAGAACCACTTCTTTTGTTTTGGTTTTTATTGAAACAGTAGTAAGTCATAAAAATTTAATGAAGTAGGAAATGTGTGCTGGTGAGAAGTACCTTTCTATACCCTACCCCTAGAGGCAACTGTGAGTAATTTGAGAACCACTTTTATGGGGAGAAAGAAGTCCCAAGAAGGTAATTCTTTTGAGGAGTTGATAAAAAGAGACTGAAACTCAGGACAAGTCAAGTTGCTTTATGAACATTAATTTTTCTCCTGATGCTCTTTCCTCTCTTAATCTCTTCTGCTCACTTTACTTGACCTTAGGGAAGGAGAGGAAGAGAAGTGTTTTTTCCATTCTCTCGTTTTCGTTTTTGTTTTGTTTTTTTTGTTTTTTGTTTTTTTTTTTGTTTTTCCCAGAAAACAAAAGATGCCTCCCCGCACTTACTATATGCAGGTGGTCCTTTTACACATCAAAGGAGGAAGTTGAGGTGCTACTGGTCTGAATTGCAGCTTTGCCCATGTACTGCCTGCCAGAATAGCCTCTTACTGCCTGGGTTTCCCATCTGAAGGTTTTAGCACATACGCCTCTAAAGCATTCAGAAGGGTCCTAGCACATGGATAAGTAATTATATCGTACCTGTTAGTTATTGTTACTGTTTCATACGTCTTCTCTTCCTTTTTAGTGAAACCTGGTGTTCGATACAGAGAATTGGGAAACATTATTCAGAAACATGCCCAAGCAAATGGCTTTTCAGTTGTTCGAAGCTACTGTGGGCATGGAATCCACAAACTTTTTCATACGGCCCCCAATGTACCCCACTATGCCAGTAAGTACTGTCTAAACATCTGGTATTTGCTAACAAATGTTTAGCAAACTTTTAGCAAATATTAAACATTCAGCAAATGTTTTCAAATACTGAACAGGGCCTGTATATTTGCTCTGACACAGTAGGTGTTCCTGTGTTTGTGTTGTTCCTGTAACAGTTCAAAGCATGTGTGTTTGGTCACTGTAGGGCTGGGGCAGTTATTCTGTGACTTAGGCTCTGTCATTTTTAACCTGTAGCTTTCAAGATCACTTTGGGAGTTGCCCTCCTAATCTCTAGATACTGGGGAGGAAGGGAAGAAGCATGGAGTGATCTTTGGAGGTTTTAATGAGTCTGCCTGGAATCAGGATAATCACATTTACTTTTCATTCGCAGGAATTTAGTCACATGGCTATACTAACTGCAGGGGAGGTTAGGAATGTTAGCTGAGTACTCTGGAAGAAAAGTAAACTAATTCTGGTGAATAGCCAACAGTCTCTGCTGCATACCTATTCTGTTTCCTTACGTGAAATTGGTTTATCTTGGTTTGACTTGAGTTTTTAGTGTATGTCAGATATGTATTATTTGTTGGTATAAATAGAGCACAATACACAGAGTGCCTTTCGTCAAGTTGAATGCTGTGTCATAGAGTAACAAAGGAAGTGTAGGACAATTAGTGTCTTCCAGAAGCCTTTTTTCTTGGAGCTGTAACACATGCAAGAATAAGTTGTTATTTAGTGCTAGAAATGAAAGCTGATCACAGTAAGTGACCTGAGAAGAAATTTAACAATTATATTTGTGAGCCACTGCTATATAGACACTCATATATATCCTTATATTTCAGTTTTCTCATCTGTACAGTAGTAGGGAATAGCTGGCACCTACCCTAGAACTGTCAATTAGGATTAAGTCAGATATTTTAACATGGAAAGTACTTAATAATAACTTAGAGAATGGTGATGATGATAATATATTATCAGCGATTTTCAACTGGTGTGCTTCAAGAATTTTTAAAACACGCAGTACCTGACTATTTAGTCAGGGGCACTGACCTCTTTTCCTCTAGATTGTCATATAAAAAAAAATGTCAACAGTCAATACAATAGCTGTCTGGTGTGAATGCCCTGTTGTGAACCATAAATGTATAGGTCATACAACTGAGTTGCATCTTACTGATCATGTTGCATGATAAGGTTTTGCCTGATTGGTTAATTCTTAGAATCAGGAATCCTTACACACAAGTATGGACACTCAGTTTTTTAAAAAGTCTCTTTGGAGCAAAAAAGGTAGGTAATTCCTATTTTTTTTTTCTTGTAAATGGATCAAAATTATACCTATTTTTTGTGAAATCAGCAAAGAAAGTATTTTGTGTGTGACAGTTTTAGTAATGAGTTTATGTGTGCCATGAGAATAAAAGGGTTGAGAATTTCTGCCTTATCTGATTTGATCTTTGCAACTCTATGCCTAATTTTTTAGCCCTATTTTAAAAAGCATATTCTGTGCTTAGAGAAGTAATTTATTTACTCACTTCACACAAACTAGTCAATACATGCCAGAGCTAGGATTTGTACCTCGCTTCTGTCTGGCTTTCTAGAGTCAGTCTTCTCTTGTGCTGTGCTGCCTAGTGAAGACTGAAGCATTTGGTGCTGGGTCCTTTGGGAGAAGTAAAGAATGGCCGAGATTTGGTTTGGCGGAGAAGATGAGCAAGAGCATTCCCGGTGGAGGGGAAGCATGTTGAGACTGAACAGAGACAATATAAGCTTGGCTCAGTATTCTGTGTGTTAACAACTAGGAATAGACACTGCCCGCTTGAGGATATTTGACTTTATTTGTAGGGGTTTTCAGAAACATTTTTGGGCAGAGGAATGGTAAGGTGAAGATGCTGTTTTGGACAGACAGATTTGGCAGTGGTATCTAGAATGTATTGGCGATGGGGACCGGTGTCACTAGTCAGTCCATGCATGGTGCAGTGAGTTGCTCGAGTCCTAGACATTGATAGTTTTGTAGAGGAAGGGAAATGAGTGAGAAGCGACTTAATGGGAGGAGCTGAAGAAGTTGTTTAGGGTGCAGCATTTGATATAGATCAATAAGCATTTATTAGCAGACCTTGTAATTTTTTTGTTTTTGTTTTTTATTAAAGCTGTGAATTGTGCTTGAAACAAGGCTAGTAACAGAAAATTAGTTGACTTCATTCCTTCCTGGTAAACCTTATAAATCAGCTGATGTGCATTCCCTTAGACAGAATGGAAGTAGATATTTTGATTATAGTAGCATTCCTTGCCTGTGTCAATAAAAAGTGGGGTGGGGGGTGAAAAAAGTGCCCTTACTCGCAGAAGTGACAGGCTCAGGTTTAGGTATGGATTATATAAAGAGAGTCCAAAAAAGATAGAATTTGTGAGAGAAGGGGATGTGTCAGAGACGTTGGGGTCAGCAAAATAGGGTGCCACTGATGTACAAGAGATGCCACTTGTTGTTTTTTTAAAATCCTTTAATTAGAATTTTTTTTTTAATTCTAAAAAATGAAGCCAAGGGTGAGTTAGGTTTGCTTCATTTCAAACATTTGGTATGTTTATGTAAAGTCATGTGGTTCACATAAATCAGAATATGTTGTGATCACTTAGGGAGTGTTAGAGGAAACTTCTGGGAGACTCTTTGTGGAGCAGAGGCCTTTTGAAGTGTAAATGATCTCTGCATTGGTTTGTGACTCCATGTTCCTAATCAGCTGGGGGAGGAACCAGAAAATTGTTGTGTAACTTCCTCTACCCCATTCATCATCACAGAAGTCCCCATTAGGTGAGAGTTTGTTTGCTTCTTTAAGTTATTAATGGTTGGAAAGTAATAATGATAATGCCCTATATTTAGGATGCATATTGTAATAATTCTGTGAGGTAGATGATAGAGCAGGTATAAATTTTTCAAGACTGCAATAGTGTAGTTACTCAGATAATGTGTGTTGGTTGAGTGAGACATGTTGAGAAACTGAAACCATGAGTCAAGGTGAGTGGGAGTTCTGACTTTCCTAGAGTAGTGAACCAGTGGCGGAAATAGGGTGGGTCTCAGGTTCTCTGTATCAGTGCTGTCCAATAGAATTGATGAGGTACATATGTAATTTAGAAATTTCCAGTGGTCATATTCAAAGAGGAAAAAGAAATAGGTGAAAGTAATAGTGTATTTTATTCAATCTATCACATTCAAAATACCATTTCAACATTTTATGAATGTAAAAGTTATTAATATATATTATATGCTTTTTTGTGTTTGGAATTGGCATTAGCTTTACACTTACGGCGAGTCTCACTCTGACCAGTCACATTTCAAGTGTTCAGCAGCTGCACGCAGCCAGTGCTGCTATAGCTGACAGCTCAGCTCTTTCTGTGACACCATACTGACACGTATGTTTTCTTTTTGATAGACTCAAGGGAATACTACCAATTAGGTGTATGTTGTAATTGATTGCATGGCATTAGAAGAGAAAGTTGATAAGATTAGAAATAAAATGTCAAAATTATGTTTGCTCCTCCGATTTTGGCAATACCTAAGGTAGTAGAAAGTGGCATAATAGCTATTCACAAAGAAGGATGTGGGTGAGGCTAGACCACACCAGAAAGTATGGTGTTTAGTAAATTCAGCCACAGCGGACATGTGTCATTGATTACCAAACTCACCATCATGAAGATCAACGACCAGACCAAAAAACCCTGAAAGCCATGCTTTGCCATCTGCTGGTCAAGACAAGCAAATACAGGCATTCATTTATTGGGGCTGCTACCTGTCTTTTTTGTTTGTTTGTTTGTTTTTTAACTTTTTAATTTTTAATTTTTTTACCAGGTAAAAACAATGGTGTTTTCTGATTGTCATTTTAATATACTTTTATTTGTTAATATATTTTATTGATTATGCTATTAGTGTTGTGCTGTTCTTTTCTCCTCTTTCTTCCCCACCACCCTGTACCCCCGACTCCCACCATCATTCCCCCACCTTAGTGTTCATGTCCATGGGTCATACATATAAGTTCTCTGGCTTCTCCATTTCCTGTACTTATGCATAACCTCCCCCTCTCTGTTTTGTATCTACCATTTATGCTTCTCATTCCCTGTACCTTTCCCCCATTCTTCCCTCTCCCCCTCCCCACTGATATCCCTCCATGTGATTTCTGTTTCTGTGAATTTCCTCTTGTTCTAGTTGCTTGCTTAGTTCATTTTTGTTTATGTTTTTGTTTTTTAGGGTTAGGTTGTTGATGGTTGAGAGTTTGTTGCTGTTTTACTGTTTGTATTTTTGATCTTCTTTATCTTAGATAAGTCTCTCTAACATTTCATATAGTAAGCGCTTGGTGATGATGAACTTTAATTTCACCTTATCTGGGAAGCACTTTACCTGTCCTTCCATTCTAAATGATAACTTTGCTGGACAGAGTCATCTTGGATGTAGGTCCTTGCCTTTCATGAGTTCAAATACTTCTTTCCATCCCCTTTTTGCCTACAAGGTTTCTTTTGAGAAATCATCTGACAATCTTATGGGAACTCCTTTGTAGGTAACTGTCTCCTTTTCTCTTGCTGCTTTTAAGATTCTTTCCTTATTTTTAATCTTGGGTAATGTCATTATGATGTGCCTTGGTGTGTGCTTCCTTGGGTCCAACTTGTTTGGGACTCTGAGCTTCCTGGACTCCCTGGAAGTCTATTTCCTTTGCCAGATTGGGGAAGTTCTCCTTCATTATGTTTTCAAATAAGTTTTCAATTTCTTGCTCTTCCTCTTCTCCATCTGGCACCCCTATGAGTTGGGTGCTGAAATGTTTAAAGTTGTCCCAGAGGTTCCCGAACCTCTCCTCATGTTTTTGAATTCTCGTTTCTTCACTCTGTCCCAGTTTAATGCTTATTTCTTCCTTCTACTCTAAACTGCTGATTTGAGTCCTGATTTTCTTCTCTTCACTGTTGTTTTCCTTTATTTCATTTTTCATAGCCTTCACTTTTTCCTCTATTTTGTGGCCATACTCAACCATTTCTGTGAGCATCCTGATTACCAGTGTTTTGAGCTCTGCATTTGAGAGATTGGCTGTCTCTTAGTCACTTAGTTGTATTTTTTCTGGAGCTTTGATCTGTTCTTTCATTTGGACCATATTTCTTTGTCCTGGCGTGCCTGTTACATAGTAAGGGGTAGAGCCTTAGGTATTTGCCAGGGAGGGGCAACCTACACAGGGGCAGCCCACATGGTTGCATTGTGGTGCTGTATTTGGGGGAGGGGTCTGAGAGGGAACAATGCTGCTTGTTCAGCTCTCAGCTGGCTTTCAGTCACTTCCCCTGCTACCCACAAGCAAATTGCGCCCTTCTGGTGCTGATTCCCCGGTGGGTGGGTTTGTGTCCGTTCTAGCACCCTGTGAGTCTCTCCAACGAACTCTCCTGTGAGACTGGGAGTTTCTCCTGCCGCCTCAAGCCCTACAGATTTTTTTAGTCAGAAGTTTTGAGGCTTTATTTCCCCATACCAGAACCCTGGGTTGTGCAGTCTGTCTTGGTCCCCAGTTGTTCCTCCTGGTTTAGCCTCACACAAATGTGGGACCATCTGGTCCGCCAACCAACACCTTGCTGCGAGTCCTCTCCTCCCCAGCTGCCCACCTCTGCCCCTCCTACCAGTCTGGATGAATGTTTCTTTTTTAACTCCTTTGTTGTTGGATTTCCATACAGTTCAATTTTCTGGCAGTTCTGGTTATTTTTTGTTTTTAAATTTGTTGTTGTCTCCCTGGCTGGTGTAGCTCAGTGGATTGAGCACGGGCTGCAAACCAAAGCATTGCAGGTTCGATTCCCAGTCAGGGCACATGCCTGGGTTGCAGGCCACAGCCCCCAGCAACTGCACATTGATGTTCTCTCTCCCTCCCTCCCTCCCTCTCTCTCTCTCTCTCCCCCTCTCTCTCTCTCTCTCTCTCTCTCTCTCTCCCTCTCCCTTCCCTTCCCTCTCTAAAAATAAATACATAAAATCTTAAATAAATAAAAAAAATAAATAAATGTGTTGTTGTCCTTCTTTTGGTGGTGAGAGGAGTCAAAGTGTATCTATCTATGCCTCCATCTTTGCTGGAAGTCCCTGAATTTTTTTTTCTTTTAATTAGAAATTTAAATAGGTTATTCCCTTTTGTCTGAGATTATCTCAAAAGGCCTATCCCTATTTTTAAATTTTGGCCTTTTGTTGGGGGGCAGGTGGCAGATCTGAACACTTTAACTCATAGTTGTATTTGTCATGATGGTCCTGAAAAATATCGTTATTAGTGAACTTGGACAAAAAGCTGAAACAGTATATGGAGGGAAGAAGTGGAATTTCTGATTTCAAATAAAAAGGAGTAGTCACGTCAACATTAAAAATAGATAGGTTAGTGTTCAGAGACTTTGTTCCCCTTTAAAGTTATTAGAAAGAGTACAACCTAAAAAACTTTGAGAAATCAGGCAGTTGTTTCTGTGGGCTGTGGCCAACTCCCGCTGCGCATCCACACACACCCTTAAACAGCTCCACCTGAGGGGGTGAGTAATGGGACTTCGGTTCTACGATTGCAATTTAATCCCACTACAACATAAATTTGTGGAAATTTCCTTTTATACAAGCGATAATCACATAAAAAATTCAGACTACGGATATCTGTGTATTTTCCAAGAGAAAACAAGCAGAATGAACTACACCTAGGACAGTACCTGTTCCAAAGTAGGTGTTTATCATTTGTTGAACCATCTACTTTATAAAAAGGTGGATCAGGAGAGGAGAAGGTAATTAAGAATGACTGAGGGGAATATAGTTGTATATTCTTTCCAGTGAGTTTTTCAGAACTACACTATTTTTTGAGATTTTTTTTATTTCTTTAATTTCAGAAAATAAAGCAGTTGGAGTGATGAAGGCGGGCCATGTATTTACAATTGAGCCAATGATTTGTGAAGGTGAGAACAAAGGATGCTGTGTGTTCTTTAATTGAATTTGTATTTATTTTTGGTTACTAATGCACAAATTAGTATTCTGCCCTATTTGCTTTTTGCTTCACTTCCACTCCCTGTCCTGTCACAAACTGGATTTAGCGCCATGTGGAGAACTAATCATTGTAAGGGTTGACCAGGAAGCAAGCACTGCTCTCTGCTGCTGTCAGTAGATGCCATAGTACTTAAATCCTGGTCCCTTTTCATAAAGATCCTGGCAAAGGGTGCATTGTCATAATTAATTTTTAATTTTTTAAATTAATTGACATGAGAGAAGGAAAGAAATATCAGTTTGTTGTTCCACTTATCTGTGCACTCATGGATTGCTCCTTGTCTGCGACCTGACCAGGGATCAAACTGGCACCCTTAGCATATCAGGAGCTACTGACCAACTGAGCTACCCAGCCAGGACCTGCATTGTAATCATTAGACACCACCATCAAGCCTGTGTAGAAGTTCTTGCTTGACATGTGGGATTGGTTGGAGGGGTGGAGAGGAGGAGAAAAGTAGACCACTCACTTTTAGGCAAAGTCAAATGCTTTAGTTACCCACCAGTTAGGAGGTAGGTGCTGTCCCCATTTTACAAGAAACTGATTCTTTAAGAGGTTAAGAAACTTGCCTGTAGTCATTTAGCTAGTTACATGGCAGATCTTGTTGGACTCCAACGTCCTGAGCTGTGTTTTGCCTCTTCAGGGTCTGCACTCATGCCATCAGGTGGTGTCATGCAGCTATTGGGGAGAAAGCACAGCACACACACACTTAGCCCTGGCAGTTTTATGACCTCACTGTGGTTTTTCCTTGTGATGGGCATGTGGCACTGATGACAAACTCAGAGTCATGATTAGTGCTCCTCACTGAGGTGTCAGAGTGACAACTTGGGTCTGCTTCATGAAGCCTTCACCTTTTTTTTCTGCCAGTTCTTTGTTGGGATTAGGGGATGTAGAGTGAGGCAGTAGTAGTAGGTAGTGTGTCCAGGGCTGTGTAGGAAAGGATATTCCTTTCTTTGGATCCTTCTAGTCTTTTTTTATAACTTAAACTTGGGAGAAACATCCTATTGCTTCTACCAGATTCTCTTTCTCAGAAGTGAGTCTCTGAATCCAGCCCACACTCATGTGGAGGAAGGGAACAATGGAGGTCATTTGAGAGGCTGCCTTTTTTTCTATAAAATGGAAATTACAATTTGTATCCTGCCAACTCCCCGGGGCTGCGGTAAGCATTAAGTGAGATAATCTATATTAATACTGGTTATAGTTTAGTCAGATGCCAGAGTTACACTGGGAAAGAGAATTCATTCATTCATTTTATTTTCTTGTACGTTTGTGATGAGTGGTGTTAATATACTTTCTAAAATCAAACCCAAACCCAGTGCCTTTATTTTGGAATTATCATCTTGATTTGATATTTGGGAAGTATAAAACATGTCAAGTTAAAACACATCTGTGGTAAATTTAAGTATCATCAAAGGCTTTAGCTAAAACTTAGTTGAAGTATAAATAGAAATCTTAATAGTGAATTTTCTGATTGGTTTTCTGTGATATCTAGTGACATAGAATGCACAGATAGATACACTTACCTAGAGCCTATTTAGAAAATTGAGGGATGGAATTAAGAAATTGTTTCTGTTTGTTTAAGGTGGATGGCAGGATGAAACCTGGCCAGATGGTTGGACTGCGGTGACGAGAGACGGGAAGCGGTCTGCTCAGTTCGAGCACACCCTGCTGGTCACGGACACTGGCTGTGAAATCCTGACCCGGCGGCTGGACAGCGAGCGGCCTCACTTCATGTCCCAGTTTTAATTTCTCCCAAGCCGGCACATCTCAGTAATACCTTCTGTCTGTACTGTGCTTTTTATTGAGAGTACAGAATGGAAGAGGAAATTTTTTACTTGTTTTGTTTTGACTATAGATAAGAAAGTTACTACCACATTTGACATGTGTCCTCAAGAACTTGTCTTGAGTCTGGAAAAGCCAAGAAGAATAAAGGAAACATTTTTCAACTCCTTTCAGTGTTCCCTTGCCCGCCCTCCCCACATCGCTGCACCCTTGTTTTCTCATTTGTCCTTTGAGCACTTTTGCTTAAACCTGCTTCTAGTTGCTTTTATCACTGCCACAACTGGGCCATCAGGAGCCGCTGCTTTCCAGATAGATGAATGTGGAAGGTGAGAATCCTTGAAACTTTAGCAACATGTGTTGCTTCAGATTTTTTTTACTATATAGGAAATATATATATATATATATATATATATATATACATTTTAAATTCATATATGTAATTACTGAACACTATATGACCTGGAGTTTATGTTGATTCTGCTCCAACAGGGTCATAAGCTGTCATAAATGGACACACAGTTTGCAGTGATTTAATTCTTAACTGGGAATTGGCCTCCCCCATGCTAATTATTTACCCATGTAGTTTTGTGGAAGGAAGCACTCAGACTCTGTGTCAGTGAATGGATGTGGCAAAATTCACTCTGGAAAAAGGTTATTAGGTTTTTTGAAATCTAGTTTATGGCAAGAATAGCCGTGCTCCAAGTGGTAGTGGCTGTTGCAGAGTATGAAGATTTTGTAATATATGCTATTTCAGACCTCTGTTTGGTCAAAATGGGGGGAACAAAGTTCCCTTTCTTCCACTGTCTATTTTATTTCAAGGGCACACCTTGGAGACATTCAGAGAAGGGTGGAGGTTGCACTGTGGAAGTTGATCGGGAAAGCCAGTTCTGAAATTTCTCCAGCAGTGAGCACAGTAAGTCAGGTGAGATGTTAGATTCTAACATTTAGTAAACCTGGTTGTGATGAGAAAAAACTCTTTGAAGATTGGACTGTTGCCTTGCAGTAGGGATACAGCTGTCCTTGGAGTGCTGAAAACACTTCACCTTTACATCGCTGGGAACCTCATTAGAAATGACCTCAGCTGCCCGGTATCTGTGTTCCTTCCAGTAGTTCAGTCCAAATGCGACTGTATCCTGTGAAGGCATATCAGATCAAAGTCATTGTCCTTAGAGTGTACTTGATTACTGGGATTCAGGTGACTGTATTGTAAGATAACTTGATACCACTGACATGTTATACTTGTACGAAAACATCTTTCCCAGAGTGCCTCAGACCTTACTGCTTTAAAAGAATTATGATAATGTTTTCATTTTATTATTTTAATGTTTAGTCGAGTGACCGAATCTGGTATAGATTTTCGGGGATATATGTGTGAAGTTTTTTATCAAACTGTAATATTTGTGAATGGAATGCCTTGCAATATGAATATTAATATAATGTGTAAAGGGAGATTAAAAAGTTTGAGTGATTATCCTGCCATGTGGTCATTAACTTTGCTGCATTTGTTTGGCATTTCAGAGGGAAATGGTGGGAATGGGGTGGCTGATTTCATAATCTAAAACTCATGACCATACTTTTTCAAGTTTATTGGCCATATAAAAAATTCCAGTACTGTGTTTGGTTGAGCGGAGTCTACCAGCATCATTTGAGATGCAACCATGTGTTTTTTGTGTTTTTTTTTGTTTTTTTAAGAGCTGTCAAGGCAGAGAATGCTGCAATTTAGGGGAGCATTTTATGTGCTGATAGTGGAATTAAGTGTGGGCTGATTGGTTGTCTATCATTCATTACACAAGAAACTCCAGGCCCTTGTTGGTGTAGCTCAGTATATTGAGAGTCGGGCTGCAAACCAAAAGGTCACTGGTTTGATTCCCAGTCCAGGGCACACGGCTGGGTTGTGGGCTAGGTTCCCAGTTGGGGGTGTGCAAGAGACAGCTGATCAATGTACGTATAGCACTTCGACATCTCCCTTTTTTTCTCGCTTCCTTCCCTTCTCTCTGAAAAAGTAAATAAAATCTTTTTTAAAAAGAAGCACCAGGAGAAAAGTCTTGGTGGGATAGTTTTTTTGTTGTTGTTATTAAAACACCTTACTGGTGATGATGCTTTTCTCGGTTTGGGAGATTTAAAACAATATGGGCTCTATTCTAATTGTCTATATATATATATATGTATATAACCGTAGATGTTTATTAGATTTAGATAAGAAAACATCTAGTTTCATCATTCTGCCAACTTCTCAAAATGAGCCAATGTGTTAACTTTTTATTTATTATTGTATTAACTTTTAAAATATTCTTTTTCCTGCCAGTCCTCCATGCCCCTTTCAAAGGGAAACATTTTAGGCTTTTAATTCATTTTATATGTTTTCACAATAAAATGGATTAAGGTTTGTTGGAGCTCATTTACCAGCACCTTTATACCACTTGCCATCCACTTGTATAAGTTAATAGGAAGAGGAGATTTAGGAATTTGTTTACCACCTTAATTTGATTCCTTAATTTGTTCTATAATCACTTCTGGTTTTTCATTGTATTTGGTTAGAATTGAGAGCAGGATGCTCTACTTTGCTAATGCCCGTACCCTCATGGTGTCACTAGTTTATTTTTTCTTCCAATTTTTTATTTTGAAAATTTTAAGTTTACAGAAAAGTTGAAAGTATAGTACCATGAAATAATCATATATTCTTTTCTTGTATTCATCAATTGTTCTTTTTGCCATCATCTCTCTGTAAGCACACTTTTCACTTGAAAGACGTAGCATCATACTTACCCATTGTTATTACAACATGTCCTTCTTAAAACATAAGGATGTGTCCTACATAATTATAATACAGTTATCATACCCAAGGAATTTAACATAGATACCGAATTGTCTAATACAGGGATTTTTCAACCTTTTTCATCTCATGGCACACATAAACTAATTACTAAAATTCTGCAGAATTCCAAAAAAATACATTTGTTGTTGATCTGATAAAAAAAGTATGATTTTGTTTCATTTACACTGGACAGTTATTGTTGTGTTGGTTGTTGTCATTTTTTAAAATTCGGCAATCAAAGGAAAAGAAGACAATGCCGTGACTAAATACTCAGGTATTGCATGTTTAAAAACACTGCTTACAAATAACTGGTCTGATGTATGTATTACAATGCATTGTAACATCACTTGTTCTTTAAAAGCTTTTTTTTTTTTTTTTATTTTTTTTAAATCCAGGATCCAAAGCTACAGCATTGAGTTGCCATGTATCTGTAGTCTCTTTTACTCTAGAGCAGTTCTTCCACCTTTTTTTATTTTATATGAAATTTACGCTTGAAAAAGCAAGCCAGTTAGCGCGTAGAATTCTGTTTTCTCTGATGGTGTCTCATGAGTGCCTTCAGATTCAACATTTTGGCAGGAGACACCATAACAGCATGTGGGATGTCCCATTCGTTGCTTCACATCTGATCAGGAGGCACATAATGTCATTGTCACATTATTGCCAATATAAGTTTATTACTTGATTTCTGTCAGATCTTTCATTTTAAGAAATAATCTGGGAGGAGATACTTGGAAACCATTTGGTTATCCTATTCACTCAGTTGTTTTAGTGTTCATTGATTAATCCTTGCCAGAGTCCATTATTTTATTACACTGGTTGCTGCAAATTGGTACTTTCTAAATCTAGCTTTTCATCAACATTATTAGCTGGCAGTCTTTACAAAGAAGCATGTTTATTCCTCCCTCTACCCATCAATGTGGGTTCACCGATTGTTTTTAAACATTCTATTGAAATTACTGTAATTGTTCCAAATTTGATTAGCAAGAACACCTTTAAGCTTATTCATGGGTTATTTTGCCCCATGCCTATCAGTCTTTGAGCACTTTCTTGCTTTTTGCTCTAGCAAGATATTCTACATTTATCATACACTTTGCCTGCCTCAGGCTGGTAATTGGCTATTTTCTTTAAGGAAAAACTTACTTTCTTTGGGGGGGAATGGTATTTGGAAATGAAGATCTGGGTGCTACTAGGGTGTCATTGTTTCTGGGCCCTTTCAGGGAACAGAGCCAGAAAAGGCATTGTTTACACATCATGAGATCCTTCAGGTACTTCCATTTCACATCCAACATTCATCTGCCTTCCTCACCCTTCCCTGTCTCCTCTCTGTGTCTTCCTTCTCTGATGTTGAGAGCTTTGGTTTTGAACAACATCAATATTTAAAGTTTGGTTGATTCTATACGATGTAAAATTATTTCAGAATTACTACATGAAAATCACTACAATAAAGTTATTAAGTGCAAAATGTGTGATTTTATTTATTTATTTATTTATTTTTAGATTTTATTTATTTTTAGAGAGGGAAGGGAGGGAGATAGAGAAACATCAATGTGCGGTTGCTGAGGGTCATGGCCTGTGACATTTTGGTTCGCAGCCTGTGCTCAATCCACTGAGCTACACCAGCCAGGGCTCTTTTTTTTTTTTTTTAATTTTTTATTCTTGGAATATATGTCACTGAGGGCATGCAGAGCATTGGTTCAAAAATTATTTGGACTTACGGTCAAGATGGTGTCTCAGGCAGACAGGGCTCATTTCTCTGCACAACCACATCAAAATTACAGCTAAACTATGGAACAACTATCGCTCAGAGCTCTCAGAAATGGAGTTAAATGGAAGTCAGACACTATGGAAATAATATCCAGCTAGATGGGCAGGAGAGGCACAGACACAACAGGCTGATCCCTCACCCACAGGTGGTGGATAAAAATTCAGGAGGGAGATCTCTCAGGAGCAAGGAGTCCCAGCCCCACACCAGGTTCCCCTGCCGAGGATTCCAGTGCCAGAAAGATAAGTCCCCACAACTTCTGGCTGCAAAAAGCAGCGGGGATCTTCAGTGGAAGAAACTTCTGGAGCCTCAAGTACTTCCTCTTTACAGAGCCAACACAGAATCACCTACTCGGACTCACTCCCTCTGAACTCCAGCGCCAGGGTCATGGCTTGAGGGGCACAAGTGGCATATGGGGAGAACTGGAGGTGGCTGGCATCAAGGCTAGCAAAGGCCATTGTCTCTTCTGGGCCTTACCCTCACAGGGCCATCAGGCTGGTGCCCTATCTGAAAATCCTTCAACCTGGCTACCACTGTTAAACCCCTCTCGGAGTTTACCAGAGGCTCTGCCCCACCCAATTTATGGGCCCACTCAACAGCTTTTCCCTAAGAATGGCTAGTCTTAGTTGGCTCAAGCTTCACAACGTTCCTCTCAAATAAGCATTAGGTGGCCTCTGCCCCAGGCCTGGCACTAGCAGCAGCCAGGAATCAGGAAACAGATAATTAAACAGGCAGTTTGCAGCCATCTAGTAAATCCTATCTTCCCTAAACTAGAGGGTAAATAGCTTAAAATCACCCTGCTCTGGGAGATAGCAGAAATCCAATTAGTGCCATTTGCCAACCACACCCAAGGAGAGATGAGGGTAAGACAATAAATCTCATTTTGGCACAAAAGCACAAAGCTAATACTCTATGGAGATCCTGCCAGAGACCTCCCCTGAACTCAGCCTTTAAAAGCCTCAAGACAAAGGACCCAGCACAGGCTTTTCCCAGGAGCATTCTGGCACCTTTTCCATTCCCCCCTTCCCTCACAGGTGTGCATCTCCTAAACTTGCACACCCCCCAGAGACTTGCACTTAGGGAGCAGTGGGCAGCAGCACCTCGTCGTCCCGGCCTAACCCCCTGACCCTGACCCAGACCCAATGCCCGCTATTTGACTTCTTAGTGAACTGAAGCAGCCCCATCAAGGCTTGCTTCTTCCCTGTAACATTTCTAGAGAGCCAAGGCAGCCCTGCTGAGGCTCTCCCTCTCCTGTTGCTTCCAGTATCCTAAGCCCTTCCTTGTTTCACTCTCCCCAGCTTTAATAAATGTACTCTAAAAATCACCAGGACTCAGTGTGAAATCTTTCCTGCAGGAAATCAACCCACGCACTACCAGCCGGCCCAAGGCAGATGCACTCAGGGCCAGGTCCCCTTGCCAGTAACGGGAGGATGAGCCACCATAACTGATCTTTTTGTGGGCAAAACCACAATTTAGCAAGTGTTTTTATCTATATATAGTGTGACTATACAGCAGATTTGCTTTATTTTAGTAGTTGCATCAGAGGTCAACAGGAAACTCAGGCTAGAATTTTTGAAACCTTTCCAGTCAATATGAGCCCTAGGCAATTCTGAGGAGACACAATAACCAAGGATAGACAGTATTAAAATGTTGATTTGAGAAAGAGATCCAAGTATTTTTAATCCAAATTTCCACTGTTTTACCTTAACATAGCTTGATTATTTTTGGTATTTAGTCCATGTCTAAATTGGAGGTAGTTCTATGGTGGATTAGTACTTCTTTCTCGAAAGGAACATGTGTATTTACCTCATCTCAGGGAATTGTTGTGGAGTCCTGTTTGGTAAGTATCAATCTGCTTAAAATTTCCATCTCATCTGCTTTGTTCCTGAAAAGT